ACATAAGCAAAGAGTACACCAGGTCTTTTTATCATAACACAAATAAAGGTTATTTTATATCATAATACAAATAAAGGTTACCTCTGTTCCTATAGAAAAAGGAAAATCCACAGACTTTAAGAACTTTAAATGAGAATAAAATTAAGTCCAAATTTAGTTTTAATATCCTAAATTTGTTTTCAAATTAACTGATTTTCAACTACAAACATATAGTGAACAATTGAAATAAAAAGGTTAAGATACCAAACAGAAATTGATCTCAAAAATCTTATTAACAAAGGAATTTGAAAACAGAGTATAAAACACAGATCCCTACATTCCAGAGACAGGATCAGATGCAGAGGATCATCCCTGGTCACATCAAATTCATTGTCATGAGCCTGCTTTGAGCAATATCTTGCATATGGAATGATAAAATAATGTGTCATATCAATGCGGAGACCGAAGGTCATCAGGTATTGTATATCAAAAAGGAAACAAGAGTGTACAAAACAGTCACCAGATACCACCAATGTGAAGACCAGTGGTAAAATAATATTTCATATCAAAACGGAGACTAGAGGTCACCTTATATTATACACCAAAACGGGGACCAGAGGCCACCTTATATAGTACATCAATAGGGAGACCAGTGGTCACCTTATATTATACATCAATAGGGAGACCAGAGATCACTTATTTTGTACATCGATAGGGAGACCAGAGGTCACATTAAATTGTACATCAATAAGAAAACCAGAGGTCACTTTATATTGTACATCAATACGGAAACAATGGGACACCTTATATTGTATATAATTAGGGAGACCAGATGTTACCTTAACTTACACATCAGTAGGGAGACCAGAGGTCACCTTATATTGTACATCAATACGGAGCTCAAAGGATTCCTTATATTGTACATCAATGGGGACACCAGAGGACACCCTATATTGTACATCAATGGGGAGACCAGAAGTCACCTTATATTGTACATCAATAGGGATCGAGACCAGAAGTTCCCTTATATCCTACATCAGTAGGGAGACCAAAGGACACCTTATATTGTATATCAATACGGAAACCAGAGGACATCTATTATTTTACATCAATAGGGAGACCAGAGGTCCCATTATATTGTGCATTAGTAGGGAGACCAGAAATCACATTATATTGTATATGAATACGGAGACCTGGGCTCCTCTTATTTTGTTAATCATTGGGGAGACCATATTTTACATAAAAGTGTTAATGAATATGGAGACAAGAGGTCATTTCATGGTGTACATTATTCAAGAGACCAGAGGTCACATAAAGTTGTGTATGAATATGAAGACCAGAGAACATCTTATATTGTTCATCATTTGCAGACCACTGATTACATAAGACTGTGTATAATATGAATATGGAGACCAGAGGTCCCCTTATGTTGTACTTCATTAGGTTGACCAGATGTCACTTATTTTGTATATTAATACAGAGACCATAGGACACCTTATATTGTATATCAATAGGGAGACTAGAGGTCACCTTATATTGTACATCAATAGGGAGACCAGAGGACACTGTATATTGTACATAATTAGGGAGACCAGAGTCACCTTATATTGTACATCAATAGGGAGACCAGTGGACACCTTTTATTGTACATAATTAGGGAGACCAGAGATCACCTTATATTGTATATTGAAAATAAATAGGGAGACCAGAGATCACCTTACGAGGGGTGATCAAAAAGTTCGCGAACTAATTGAATTACTTCCTTAAAAGAAATAAAATAAGGTTTCAGTGCTCATTATTTTTTAAAGTAGTCCTCTCCGATTAATAATGCACATCTGCCATTGTTCTGCTCATGCGCGAATCACGTGATCCAGGCGGTCACGTGACATGCTCTGTGGCATTCTGTTCACAGAAGCTAAAAGATTTTTCCGAGTCTTATATTTCTTTCCATGCAAGTTATTTTTTATAACAAGAACAGTCCATCTGTCAGAAATGGCCAAATCTCGGCAATAGGATGGGTGGATATGGACATCCCTTCCTAGAATTAGCATGGTGATCATCAAAACCCGAGTCCTCTGTCTCGGGAACGTAGTTTATCCAATGTGGATAAAGTATGGACGGACTCTTTTTATCATAGCTCATATGTTTAAAGTCCAAAGTAAACGATATTTTAGGGATTTGATAATTATATTATTGTTAAGATATTGAACTATTTTTCTAATTGTAACTTGGCGATCTTTTATGACAAATTGCTCAGCTAAGGACACATCTTTTCGCCGGCTTGCTTTCGCTGGGCAACAGAACAAAAATCATTTTTAACCATCTCCCTGCCTTCAATAAAACAATCAATCCAATTAATGATTGAACTTCTGGTAAGTCTTTTGTCTTTATAAACCTTATACAAATTATCATATTCTGCTGCAAAGGAATTTCCAAGATATACGTTAAACTTTACAGCCGTTCGTTGCTCGAGTACAATTGAGTCAACCATTTTTTGTCACAAGTGACCTACATATTGACGTCATTTTCACATTGTGACGTCACAAATACGGAGCAAAAAATTATATAACACCTGCTATTTATATAATATGTGTATGACTATATGTGTGCCAAATTTCATTCTGATCTGAATTGTGGTTTTGTAAATATAGAGATAGTTCGCGAACTTTTTGATCACCCCTCGTATATTGAACATCTTGTTTCCTTATTGATGTGGGTTTATAAGTTGATCTCTGGTCTCCCTAATGATATATCTCAGTTGATTCAATACGGAAGAGCATGTTCTACGTATGAACAATTTTAAAACGAGTTAAGTTATTGACAAACAAGTTGATGAAGCAAGAATATCAGCGGTCTCGTTTAAAGTCATCATTTCTTAAGTTCTATGGTCGATACAATGACCTTGTCGGCAAGTAAGTCAAATGCTGACTGACTTTTTTCAAACTGATTGTTAGGCTATTATTTTTACAGTTGTCCACGGATTTTTCCGTTTTTTCCCGAACATGACAAGGAGCACACGGCGGGTGTGACCGGTCGGCATGGGATGCTCACTCCTCCATGGCACCCGATCCCACCTCCGATGTTTAGGAGGTCCGTGTTTGCTTCGCTCCTATTTTGTAATGTTTAATGGACTTTTGAGCTCGAATACTGTTCGTTAATTCCAAATTTTTATTTGTGTTATGATATGAAAGAACTGTTGCAATCTTTGTTTATGTAAGATATGAGAAATTATAGAGTGAAAGAAGTATTTTTTTCTTCACATTATTACATGTTCAGAAGCTTATTTTCATACTTATTGGCTTCATTTTGATTTTGAGTTGTCTTTTAGCAGAGTCTAGTATCGTAGAAGCCTGATCTCTGCATTCATATAAACTTTTTGTGATAGCTGGTCTCCCTATAACACTGTAATGTACAATATATGGAGACCTCTGGTCTCTGTATTCATTTACAACTTTACGTGACCTCCATGGTCTTCCTAATTATGTTTTATATAAGAGGACCTCTGGTCTTGGCATTTATATAAACTCTATGTGACCTCTGGTTTCTCTAATGAACAATATAAGGTAACCTCTGGTCTCCACAATGAAGTACAACATAAGGTGACCTCTGGTCTCCCTATTGATGTACAATATTAGGTGACCCCTGGTCTCCCTATTGATGTACAATATAAACGCAGTACAGTTAAGGTGCCAAATGGGAATATCGGCGAATTTTTTAGATAGAAAATACATTCTTTACAAGGATGGGCGTTTCTTTTTAGGACTTTACTATTATCGGACAAATGCAATGTGGTTGAAAACTACATGTTGAGGACAATTAGATTTCTTATTTAGACTTGCCACGTGATGTGGCAGTCACGTGATTTTAGCAAATATACCTGAAGTATTGAGGTCATCTATAAATTCTAATATTGCAAGGGCATAACCAAGTTAAAAATCTAAGTTTAACATATAATTATTTTCAACACTCTTTGTAGTTTGTAGTTTGTGAAAAGTGATGCGAACCTATATAGATTCTACTATCTAATTGCTAAAAGTACATTTGTTAGACCGTATGTTGAATATTTTGCTGGTCAAGTACATTAAATATAGATATTTCATTTGCAAGATTTCAACAGGTTCACAGCACTTTTCAAATATCTTCATACTTCTTGAGTTTATGTGTAAAAGCTTGTCATAATTCATTGAGGGTATGCCCTTGCAATATATCGATTTATTACGACCCTTCTATTACCCTTCAATGAATCTGCATACAAATATACGACAGTATCGCTTGTCTAGGGAATGTACGGGAAGCATATTGATAAAATCATAAAATACACATCGCATCCAAGTTAATAGCCTTTTATATGTCTACAATTAATATTTTATTTAATTACAAAACACATTTTTCATTGTATAAATATAACTTGATCCACCTCTCACTGCATACAAACTTCGTCAAATTTTACGATATGACGTCACATTGACAAGTGCATTGCGATCAGTGAATTGTTTATATATTGCTGTGTGGGATTTAATCAACGACAATAATCCATGCACTAGTAAGTATTGATGTAGTTTAAAGCTATTCATCAGTTTAAAATAGCAAATCATTTCATTTTGTGGTAATTTGAAGAAGATATTTTGTGTGATATCATAGTAAGCATTTCCCGTATAAATTAGGCCCCGCCTCCTTACTGCAGCCTTAACTGTGCTGCGAACTGACCCCTGGTCTCCCTATTGATGTACAATATTAGGTGACCTCTGGTTTCCCTATTTAAACAAAATATAAGGTGACTTCTGGTCTCCCAAGGATGTACAATATAAGGGGACCTCTGGTAAACCTAATGAAGTACAACATAAGGGGACTCCTGGTCTCCATATTCATATTGTACACAGACCTCTGGTCTCCGTATTCATAAAAACTTTTATATGAAATATGGTCTCCCCAATGATTAATAAAATAAGGGGACCCCAGGTCTCCGTATTCATGTACAATATAATGTGACTTCTGGTCTCCCGACTATTGTACATTATAAGATGAACTCTGGTCTCCCTATTGATGTTAAATATAAGTTGTCCTCTGGTCTCCCTACTGATGTAGGACATAAGGGGACCTTTGGTCTCCCTATTGATATACAATATATGTGATCTCTGGTCTCCCTATTGATGTACAATATAAGGTGTCCTCTGGTCTCCCTATAGATATAGGATATAAGAGGACCTCTGGTCTCCCTGTTGATGTAGGATATAAGGGGACCTCTGGTCTCCCTGTTGATGTACAAGTGATCCCTGGTTTCCCTATTGATGTACAATATAAGGTGTCCTATGGTCTCCCTATAGATGTATGATATAAGGGGACCTCTGGTCTCCCTATTAATATAGGATATAAGGGGACCTCTGGTCTCTCTATTGATGTACGATATAAGGTGTCCTCTGGTCTCCCTATAGATGTAGGATATAAGGGGACCTCTGGTCTCCCTATAAATGTAGGATATAAGGGAACCTCTTGACTTTCTTTTGATGTACAATACAATGTGATCTCTGGTCCTCCTAATGATGTACAATATAAGTGGACCTATGATCTCCGTATTCATATAAACTTCATATTAGCTCTGCTCCCCACATAAGGAATATGGAAACATGAGGTTGTGGTATATGAATCAGTAGATCAGAGGTAATCTTATATTGTTCATTATTAGGAAAACATGAGGTCACTTGAAGTTATAAGGAGACAATAATTTTAAAAAATGTGGCATGTGAAGAATTATTTTTCAAATCCACTCGAAACAAAAACTGAGACCATGATATTTTCTTTTACAAGCAAACAATTTCACAATTTCTCCAAATTACTTCTCTAAATTTATGTAATTGGATGGGGGATGATATTAGACAACTTTTGCTTCGTATACAGTATATGTATCCCAGAAGCAAATGACAATGGGGACATGTTTTTTAAGTTTATTATTTTGGATATATCGATGCGGGTACTGTACCAAATTCATAAACGAATCAAAACTAGTAATATATACAAGTAGTTTTGATTCGTTTATGAATTTGGTACATGTAAGTGTATACTCCAGAGAAAGGGAGAGGAGTACTTCAGCCTCCATCCTCGAGTGATAGGGAGTACATCTACTCTGTAAGATTAAAGCGACAATACGGCTGCAAAACATGTGCTTTTTCATTCAATTTTACCCAATATATCATTAAAAAATAATGTATAAAGTTGATGTAAACAGTTTGAGAAAGATAAATATTCTCTCCTCATACAAATTTAACGTAATTAGAATCTGCCGGAAAATCAAGGGTCGTACGAACTGGAGCATATTTGTACCACCTGAATTCTAAAACTGCACGTGCCTACACTGTAGAGTTTACAATTATAATGAATATGACGTAAAAGCAATTTTCAAAAGGAAATTATCATAACTTTCTGATAAAATAATTTAAAATAATAATCGTAAAGAATTTAGTCTGCTTTCAGGCGAATTTAACAGAATGAAAAGTACAAATGTTGACGTTTTGTGTATTGGGGTCCGAGAAAGGAAAAAACATCGAATCATACATTATTGCGGCAAATGTCAATCAAAATATTTTTTCTGCAGAGTTAAAAAAATTAGCACTTCAAATGGCAACAATGTTTATAAGTCATAGGTGTACGGTGGCATTGAAAAATCAAGATATTTAATGAACATCTCGAGTTGCTGATCGTTATTTCTGAAAAAAAAATCATTAATAACTTTGTCCAAGTCATCAAGATAATGCTCGGACAAAATAGTAGGTTCTATCGATAATGATATGTCGTCCTGACTTAAGTTCTGGACGACATAATAAAAGCCACTGTGACGCATCTATTGTGCAATTTTAATTGTGTGGTGAGAACATAATATGTCTATTAAAAAGAAACGCATGTAATGCTGTCAAATACATTTTAAATGCGTGTTCGTCCAGTGTTAATCAGAAAAATGCAAGAGAATTACCCGTTGAAACCCAAACCTTGGCATTAGTCATTTCTTTTAAACTTTGTATCACCATCCCATTTGATGTTCTTTTTTTTTTGGGGGGGGGGGAGGCTTTTGTAAATTTAAATTTTCTTTGTTTATTCTCTACTTACAGTGTTACAGAACTTTGCAATTTATTTTTCACATACAGTTATCTTCAGAAAAAATTTTACAAAGTATTTATTGTTTCAATATACACGTTTGAAATTTTTTTTTTGAAAGTCGACATGGTGTGGAATTCCATATACGACAGCCAACTGCTTACTGCCAACTGCTCACTGCTTACTGCCAACTGCTCACATCTTACTGCCAACTGCCACTGCGCATAGATGATATTGCCTGTTTTATTATCTTTAATACGCATGCTTAATTGAATAAACCCTACGATAGATTACAATAATAACGAAAATTGGCGGATTCAGGAATTTTTAAACAGTGATGGAAAGGAAGGAATAAATGGGAGGAAAGAGTATTCTCTCTTAAATTTTTTCTGCACAGTTAAAAAAATTGTGCTTTTTGTGTGGAGTTTGCATTTTCCTGCTATCTGTATCCTCGTCCTTGGGTCTGTTCAGCTACTGCGGGGTTGCTGCCACACTTATCATCATTGAAGTCGTTCCATTCCTAGTTTTAGCTGTCGGAGTCGACAACATCTTCATCTTTGTCCAAGCTTTCCAGGTCAAAATAGCTCAAGCTTAATAATCTGTACTGTAGAAATATGCTTATGTTTAGTAAAAGTAAGCGCTCCGAGGTTCAGAAAGATTATATATCACATTCAATAACCAGCTTTTAAACATACTATTTCTTCTACAGAGAGATGAAGCTCTTACTGGTGAGGAGCTTGAAGACAGAATCGGAAGGGTCCTAGGCAAAGTTGGACCAAGCATGCTCCTGACCAGCTGTGCTGAATCACTTGCTTTCTTCTTGGGTGGGTTTTTTCGGATGATAATCACAAAAACACTTTAAAGCCACACCCTTCTGATACAGCTGTGAAGACACTGAAATTTACCAAACTATGATCGATTCCATCTTTCTCTACAGGTGCACTGACCGATATGCCAGCAGTACGAGTATTCTCTCTTTATTCAGCTATGGCGGTTTTATTAGATTTCCTGTTTCAAATAACTGTTTTTGTTGCAATTATGACGTTGGATGCCAAAAGAGAAGAAGTAAGTGAATTGATTTTATTTTGCTGCATAAGGCCATTTTTCAAAATTTTCCCTGACAATTTCATCTATACAAATTATCATCCATATTTATTTGTCAATTTTAGAGCAATAGGCTGGATATTTGCTGTTGTGTACAACTGGATAAAACAAAGAAAGAAAGAAACTCTGAGGGAATTCTTTTTAAAATTTTTAAGAACTTTTATTCGAAAGCTTTACTTTCCAAAGTTGTTCGACCAATTGTGGTAAGTTTACATGTATCATTTGTTTTCTTAAATGCTTTCAAAACTTTTACTGTCAGTGAAGAAAGATAAAAACACTCACAATTCCTTTTCAGATGATCATGTTTGTTGGATATTTCTGCTTCAGTGTTTCTCAGATTCATGAAATAGAGATTGGGCTTGATCAAAAGCTATCCATGCCAGATGTGAGTATTAACAAGAGATCTTTATGCTGTTAGCACTTTAAATTGTGAATATCTAGGAAGGAACAACAATTTGTGTAGTAAAACCTCCGATGGGACAATGTTCAAATCATATCTCTTTCTTTCATTTTTTGAAAATATTATAAGTCAAGTTTGAAATCGAATGTATAAACTTGATGCTCTTTTGTATATGTGTTTTCTGTGAAACAGAACTCGTATGTACTGAACTATTTCGGAAACCTGAGTGAATACCTGCACGTGGGGGCCCCGTTGTACTTCGTCGTGGAAGACGGTGTTGATTACACAACAAAGGATGGTCAAAACTTAGTATGTGGGGGGACAGGGTGTCCTGAGGATTCCGTAGTGGGTCAGATTAGCACAGCTGCAAAACAAGCAAAATAGTAAGTAAACACTTACTTTTAAAATCAAAATCTGTGCATTTTTCCTCTTGTAGAACGCATTATACTTATTTCACAACACAGAGTAGTAAAATTGACGAACGAAACTTTATCTAGAAAACATTCATGATACATAATTTGTTCTGTTAAAAGGTAAAGTAAATATTGGCTTTTTCCATAAAATATAAAGATAACGAACAGTAATCAAGCTCAAAAGTCCATTGAAACAATGCAGATTTAAAGCAGAGCAAACACGGACCTCTAAAAACATAAGAGGTGTAATCAGATGTCATTGAGGAATAAGTATCCCCTGTCGACTAGTCACACCCGCCGTTTGCTCCTTGTCGATCATGATCGGGAAAACGGAAAAACCCGTAAATTCAGTAATGGCCTAACGCATGAGAAACGTCAGTAAACATATATATATGCATATTTAAAAAAAACTCTTTGAATTTAGTACTTATATTGCCCATCCCACATCGGCTTGGATAGACGATTACTTTGATTGGTTAAGACCTGGTGGTGATCCCCCATGTTGTCGGATCTATAACCACACTGGAGAGTTCTGTGCAGCCACAGGTAATTTTCACCAAAAACTGGAATCTATGATTCAATATATTACTTAATGCAATTGAGTTAACATGCATGTAACAAAGTATAATCAACAAATCTCTGATTTCTTTCAGAGGATAATACGAGTTGTTTAATTTGTCCAGTTCAAAAAACTGCCGATGGGCGGCCCGTTTCTCAAGATTTTATGAAATTCTTACCTTGGTATTTAGAAGACAACCCTGGAATAAAATGTGCAAAGGGGTAAGTTTGAAATGATTTTATTGTGATATACCAAAGACGCTTCCATATAGTTATTATATATATTTATGGATTGTTTGTTTACTTTATATCATGATATAATGATTTTGAAACCTATTTTTAATTAGAGGCCATGCTGCATATGGACGTGCGGTGAATCTGAAAAAATGACAAAAAAGCTGTTGGAGGTGGGATTTATTTTATATCATTACATGTAGTATTACCACGCCTGCGTGAAATTTTGTTCATACTTTTTGAATTTTTGAGTAACTACATCATAATTCTGTTTTACCCCTTAGCCACTTATTTCATGACGTATCACTCCATAATGAAGGAAAGCAAGGACTATATCACGGGATTGTTGGAAGCTAGGAAAGTAGCAGACAATATGACAAAAATGTTAAAAATAAAAACGGGGGGAAATTCAACTAAAGTCTTCCCATACAGGTATAAAGAAGTATATCTTAAAATTAAGCATGTTCTATCATTCAGCATAATTTTCTTTCAACTATTACCGGTATTCTTTTTTAAGATTATTTTTCTTATATTTTTAGTGTATTGTACGTCTTTTACGAGCAATACTTGACCATCGTAGAGGATACAGTACAAAACTTATGTATATGTGTTGCCGCCATTTTTGTTGTGACCTTCATATTACTGGGATTTGACATCATTTCCGCTTTGATGGTGGTAATGACTATGGCTATGACAGTGATTGACATTTTAGGATTCATGTCCTTGTGGAACATCTCAATTAATGCCGTTTCATTGGTCAACCTTGTTATGGTAAGATTATTCTAAAATTATGGTCAGGATTTCAGTCCAGTTGTGGCATAATACCCAGGTGTATAGATGCTATTAAATTAAAATACCCTGCTACCTTTACACGAATAAAAACTTCATGAAAGAATATGTATTTATATATTGTTCTAAACTATCGTATACATGTAGGATTTTGATTTTAAAAGTATTCTCACTGGATTTAAAAGAAACAACTTTACTTTAATTTCAGGCTGTAGGAATATCGGTTGAATTTTGTGCTAACATTACACGGGCGTTTGCCGTCAGCAGCCATCGAGATAAAGTCGAAAGAGCAAAAGATGCAGTGGCTCATATGGGCAGTTCTGTAAGTTTGTTAGAAACTCTTCTTCTTCTTTTTTTTTTTTTTTTAATTTTTCTACAAATTTTTTAATAAAAAAAAAATATTAATACTTTTCTTGAGATATATTTTACTTACTTATTTTGTAGGTGTTAAGCGGTATTACCCTGACAAAATTGGGTGGAATAATTGTTCTAGCCTTCGCAAAATCGCAGCTTTTCCAGGTGTTCTATTTCAGAATGTACTTAGCAATAGTTGTATATGGTGCTACTCACGGATTAATATTTTTACCTGTCTTGTTAAGCTACATTGGTACGTACATGTTATTTTATCTTTGGTACATAAAAAATGAAAGATTAAGTTTAAAAATAGTGATATTTCTGTTTGGTTGGGTAAAGATTTTCCTCAATTTATAGTTTCATTTAGCATAATTTTGTTTATTTAAAGATAAAATTTGTATTGGTTATGTAAGATGCATGAATAAAAAATGTAGTCAAATTAACCTTATAATATATATATGCATGTATTTCATACCCGTCTCTGATTCAGTAATAATTTACATAAATTTTCTTGTTTCAGGTCCTCCAGTGAACAAAGCCAAATTAAATAATAAAGAACCATTAGAAGAAAATTTACGTGCAAAGGGACACACAAATCATGCTTATAATGATGACTTTATAAAGACGACAAGTTTTAAGAAATTGGAAAATTCACATTTATAAACACGTATTATATTGTTATATCTTTAATTTATTTCAGTTTGTCATGTCGATTATGTTCATGTAAAGCGGAAAAGGCAAAAACTTTTATAGGAACAAAATATTGCGAATAACGAATTGATATTTACAGTTAGTCCTTGACATTTTTGTAAATATGAACGAATGAAGGGAGTTTTCTTATGGCTTAGAATGAATTCCACCTTAATTCTGATTGTTTACTTCAGAAAATGGTGAATATCTGTCATCCATCGTATATACATATGTGTAAGTAGAATGTATGCTCATTCAAAATGTAATTGATATGATTAAATGAAAGGCTGCTTACTTATATTAATTTAATACGGAAATCGGGTGCATAAGAAAGATTTTCAGAGCCGTGTCTGGAAGCATTCTTTTTTTAAATGTCAATTGTAAAGAATCCAATCATAATTGTATGGTAAATTAATTGTTTGATATAAAATAAGCAAGTTTATTGAGGTTCTTTTGAATTGATATGAAGAGTTTACATTTGACGTTATTTCAATGATCTATGCATAATAGATGATGCCTGTGGATGCTATAGATGATAGATGAAAATTAAGTTTGTAATTAATGTTATGCTTTCGTGATATAAAAGTCTTAAGAGTTTGCTAAAATATTTGCTATGTTGGTGTTCGAACAGTTTATTTATAGCACGAGAGGCTTGTGCGGATGAAGGCGTTTTATATACTGTTACCTCATAACAAAATAATCAACATTCTGTATAAATAACTAGTTGTAAATATGGACTTTTGTTTTTGTTTGACCTTTTGTTTTGTTGCGATATCATTATACATGTTTTTAACGTCTGATATTTGAATGCATGTGATGCAGACGACTGAGTTTTTTCTTGCCTATAGCCTGTGATGTTTTTTTTTTATTTAAGTATGTTTTTACATGATTGACTTCACAACAGATGCTATTAAATTTATGCTTTATTAAGCATTTAACAAGAATATTATTGTGTTTATTTTGTCTGTTTTAATCTTTAAATTGCAATTATATTTTTTTTTACTTAAGTATCAAAGTACATTACAAAACGTTGTTTGATTTCCTACTAGACTACGCACTGACGGATTCAACTAAGAATAATTTATTTTACGAGAGTAAACCAACGTTGGATAAAAGGCAATGCTTGCAAGTGAACACTTTACGTTAAAAAATTATACATTCTTTTCATTCCAAAATACAATCATCTAAAATATGAAATTTCAGAAAACAACACAGATGTCCTTTTTGACATATTTCATTTTTTCAAATATGCAATATGACTATTTAAGATTTTATTTGATAAAATGAAATATGCCAGAAAGGACACCAAGTTTAAAAGAGAAATCACAGGCTTCTTAACAAAGAAACTACATGTAATTTGCAACCTACAAAGAAGAAGGTACGGTTTTGGCTTTATTTTGCCCTAAAAATATTAATGTTTTCAAAAAGTTATGATATTAGCTTATATATGAGTTGAGTATATGAATTTGATATATCATAAAAGAATATGGAATGAAGTAGGGCTATTCTGGAAATATGACATCATTAATTTTGTACATTTCTAAGCTCAAAATGACTTCTTTCATCACTTTCATACTTTAGAAAAATACAGGGCCAGATTTGTAGTGTAACCATACCTTGTTCTTAAAGAAAAAACCCAGTATATCCTTAAATAAACACAATTAGTTCAGTTATAATTAATCATCTGCTCTTCCTATAATTAAAACTCGTCACAAGCGGATACCATTGAGAAAATAAATCTCTTTAGGACATACTGATATCCTTATATTTGTTAAGGCGATATACTAAGGCACTGGTAAACGAAAATACTGGTACAGTGTAGGAAAAAAAACGTTTTGCATAATAATACATTTTCAAAACACAAAAGGATGCATATATCATTTCATAACATTACAAAACTTCCAAATTAAAGAGTATATTTTTCTGCAATATGTAAAATTGGAAGCTTAGTTAAAAACATAAAAGCATGATTATAAAAGCTTTCTACATTCTTTTTCTTACTTTTTGAAATCGAATTGCGAATTTCAGGCCCGTTAGATGGATGTTTATTTTTGCCAGTATGTACCATATAATAGAAAACCAATTTTCAGTTGTGTCCCCTTAAATATTAACGTTTTATTACCCCCATTTTACTTGCTTGTCAAAAAATTTCTGTTCGCCCCCCCCCCCCGGTAATTGCTTCCTAAAAATTCATTCAATTTCACATAATTATGCAATAAAAAAGTGAAGATAACAAATAGTGATTAATGTAAAAAAAACCCTCTGTGAACAGGGCATAAAACAAGGACCCCCGGAAATTCCAGAGGTGGGATCAGGTGCCTAGGAAGAGTAAGTATCCCCTGTCGACCGGTGAACCCGTAGTGAGCCCTATTTATTGATTGTAAGCCTGGACTTTAATCTATCATGGAGAATGGTTGTATAAATTGTTGAAAAGTCGTACGTTTTAATGTTCTTGATTTTGTTAAAATTTTATGATTTCAAATTTTCTGGAAGTTCCTTGGAGTTTTTAAGTATCCACGTCTGATTTACACCACTTCTCGAATATACTGTCGTACAGTACTTCTAAAGTTTCTCCTTCACTGCTGTAAATAGTTTAGTGAGGAGTAAAGAAAGAGGTTTGATAGAATATTTACAGGAACCCGCTATGTATCTTTGTTTGTCAGGATTTTTATGGAGTTTAGGAATCCAGTTTAGGTATGATAATTCAAATTCATTTTGATTGTTGGGAATATCAAAAATATTTAAAACAGACTTATGGATTTGAAGAATTTCCACCTTAGAAAGGGAGCTATGGGTATAAGTTGGATTACCACTTGCAGAATTAAATCCTAGTTCCTCTAAAATACAATTAAAATAATGAGCCTTACAAACAAAGACAATGTTGTTACCTGCTTTGTCAGCAGAGACCAGTACATACTGATCGAGTAATCTATCTAATTCTTGTTTCAGTATCCTTTTAATATCAACTTCAGAGTACATGTTTTATTATCAACTTCAGAGTACAAGTGTGTAGAATCAGAGTGATTTTTAACAAAGTAATTTTGGTGACCAATCACAAGATATGAAAATTTCCGAGTTCCGTTGTTATTAAATAAGCAGTTGTCTATGATATCAAAAAGCCTAGTTTTTAATTTCACGCAAGGAATGAATGTATAAATTGTGGTAAAATGGTATGTTCTATTGTTACTGACTTTTGAAAATTTGGTGATTTTAAATTCCCTAAATTTTCTTTGTAGTTTTTGAGAATCCAAATCTGATTTACACCACTTAAGAATATGTTGTAGCACAGTACGTCTGAAGTTTCTCCTTTACGGCAGTCAATATTTTTGTGATGATTAAAGATGGGGACTTTATAGAGCATTTACTGGACCCTACAATGTATCTTTGTTTGTAAGGAATTTTATGAAGCTTAGGAATCCAAAATCGGTAGGGTAGCTCGAATTCACCTTAGTTGACTGGAATGTTAAAAGTATTAAAGACTGAACTGTGATTTTGAAGAATTTTATCCTTAGACATTGAACTGTGAGTATAAGATGGGTTTCCAGATATAGAATTTTAAACCAAATTCTTCCAAAATACTGTTATGATAATGGAACTTATAAACAAATATGATAACGCAAGTGTCACCAAAGTTAATATCAATTGTGATATTAACTAGAGCATAAAGAAAAGAATGAAGAACTAGTGCATGCCAGTCTAGCTTTGTGCCAATACATTATACGTCAAGGCATATATATATATATATATATATATATATATATATATATATATATATATATATATATATATATATATATATATATATATTTATGTGTTGTTGATCAACTAATAAGCCGTCATGTTTCTTTGTGATATCTCTGTAGTGTACCAACCTGAAATGAAAGGACATTCTTGCTTTCAGTGTGATGTGACATTTATATTTATTGCATTTAAACATAATTTCTAACACTATTTTATTGCAGTCTTAAAAGCACTTGTATTGCACTTAGAAAACAAACAAGCAAACCGGATACGAAACATGGGTTAAATTTATATTCTTTTAACTTTTAAAAAACATCAGTTTAACTATCAACCCTTCTTCAGTCGAACAACAATTTCAAGATATTTCAGAATCCTCTAATACATGTACCTGTATATACCAAAAGCCAAAACCTTAAAAAATGATCATACAGTATCAAATCTGAGCATATGACTTCGTTCAAACTGTTTCCTTTTGTAAGAGGCTTGAAAGTGAGAACATGATGTATAAGAGTGCGGGCATTGATCTTATTTTATGGATATCACATCCCATTCCAAGTGTACCTGAATGTTATCTTCTTTGGAATGAATATATCATTAGGTTTCTCTATATTTTATTCTATCATATGCCAGTGAAATATTTTATAAAATTGAGTTTTTTACTTGAAAGCTCTTGCTGAGAAAAACTTGTTCAGCGCTAAAATAAGTGAAGAGTTCACCAGAGGTATGATCTGGCTACAAATGCAAGGTGACTGAGAAATGCTTATATGGAATGTTGAGCTGGGGAGGTCTAGAGTGTGACCCAATTCCTGACACCTTTCAAGGAAGCGATTTCCAAGTCGTTACGAGAAATGGAGTGCGTATCATAATGTACCAACTGCCTAAAGACTCTTATTTTTATTCTGAGCACTGCTTGTGAAAAATTTTTTTCCAATAAGTGTTGGTAATTATAGATTTCAAAAATGTCAAAGTCGTAGAAACATTATATACATGAATTGCAATAAAACTGAGAACCATGTATATTGTGCTAGAAAATGGTCAAAACACATTGTGGTCATTAAAAAAAGAAATTCCTGTTCAAGTTTTATAAATGCAGTGATATCTACGAACAAATATACACCTGTATAGATCCTGAAAGTTTTTAAACATATTCACAAAATAAAATTCTTTTAAAATCCCCATTGCCAAAACTTTACGTTTTGTTATCCAAATACAGCAAAAAATTGTTTTATTAC